TGTTCTGAAGAAGCTTAAGACTATATCAAGGATGTCTTGAGCAATGAAATCCCATGCTAATCTGTAGAATTTGAAGTTGAAACCATCTGGTCCAGGACATTTTGACCCATCACAATCCCATACACTGCGTTTCACTTCTTCCATTGTGATTTCCTGCTCCAGCCATTCAGAGGATTCTTTAGAGAGGCATTTGAAACCCAAGGGATTTAACTGCGGCTTTTTTCCAGAGGGGGAGTCATACAGCTCAGAGAAATAATCCACAGCAGCCTGCTTAATACCCTGCTGAGAATCAAAAGTGTTGCCATTATGGTGGATTTTAAGGATAGATGATTTAGCCTTCCTGAAATTGGCAATCAAATGAAAGAACTTGTTATTTCTATCACCCAATTTGCACCACATCTGTCTTGATTTCTGCCTCCAAATAGATTCAATGTGATTGTTGTGAACCCAGCGGTCTTTCAACAAAAAGTCTAAATGCTCCTACTCTTGGTCGGTTATACCTTCTGCTTCACATTTTTCCTCTAGCATGTTGATAGCTGAAAGGGTTCGTTGAAGGGTAGCTTCTTGATTTCCAAATTCAAGCTTATTCCATTGCCTTAATCTGACTGCAATATGATTGAGCTTTTTGAGAAATTTAAAGCGGCCAGGGTGAAGGGAGCATGCATCATTCCAGAAGTTTTCAATAATATGCTTAAAATTTGGGTACTCAGTCCAACAGTCCAAGAAACGAAAAGGACGCCATCCATGGTCCTGCAAGAAGCTAGATAGAATTAAAGGGCAATGATCCGAGAACTCTCTTGGAAGTCGTCGAAGAGATAAACTGGGGAAGTGAAGATGGCAGGATGAGTTTGCAAACATACGGTCCAGTTTGCTCTTGGACCCTCCTCTGAACCAAGTAAAGTGACCTTCTGCTAAAGGGTATTCAGTGAGCTCACAAGACTGCAGAAATCTGCTAAAAGAATTTGAACCTGCAGGATGACAGATTCCACTGTTTTTGTCTTTCTGAGAGAGTGTTTCATTAAAATCTCCTGTTATTATCCAGGGAACTTCAAAAGCGTGCTTAAGAAGAATGAGATCATCCCAAAGTTTTTGTCTGTCCAGATAGTTACAAGGAGCATAGATGCCAATAACAAAGTAATGAAAATCACTATGAACATGTTTACCATATAAACCGATCCAACCATGACCATATTCAATATTAAAGACTTCAAAGTTAGTGTTTTTGCACATAGCAAGCAGACCTCCTTTTGATCCCTGAGCATCATTACTAAACCAACTAACATGATTTTGATTCCAAATACGAGATACAAAGCCAATTGAACAATTAGCTAGCTTAGTTTCCAGCAAGAAACATATATCAATCTTATATTCTGATATTAATTTCATGATTCTTCTTCGTTTCCTCATCATGCCCAAGCCACAGGAATTCCAAGAAAGAATATTCATGATAGAATTAAAAGATCTATCTGCAAGGACAGGGATGAAAACTTACTATTCATTATTGTTTCTGCCAATCTTCCCTCTCATTTTCTAGCTGTCTTATGATAAGCCCATAAAATTTTTCCAAGAGAGCTGAATTACCAAGACCCAAAGCTTCTCCCAAATGGATCATTTTATTGACTTCATTATGAGACGACTCCGCTGCAGATTTCTTTAGGTTACGGTTATTATTCACCCTGATGTAAGAGTCTATAGAAGATATGCTTGCTGAAGAGTGAAAGGAGAGGAGACTCCCAGTGGAGGATATTTTTTTTAGTCTTGGTTGTTTGGTTGTTGTGGTCCGATGTTGGTTGGGTGTAAGAGGCGGGCCTTGGACTTTGCAGTGGGATTCTAAAGAATTATCACTGCTGACAGGGGTATAAGGTTGTGGCGAGAAAAAGTCTTTTTTGAAGGCCATGTTTTGGTGCTCCAGTGGGCTTGCTGAATTTACGTCGTATAAGACAAGGCCCCGTTCTGCTTGGAGTTTATTTTGGGAAAGCTTGTTAGGAGAGAAACAGTGGTGGGGGGTCCTTGGAGCCGTTATTTCTGGAAAGAGATCTTCAACAATGATATGTAGCCGTTCTGTGTTGTCAGTGGCATTTATTGTGGCCGGAAAGCTATGATCGTAGACCTCATAAATGCGTTGTATATTATGATGTTTTCTTGTCATTGCGTTAAATGCAAGAAACAATATGTCGACTAGCCTTGGCCATATATTATGATGTTAAATGCGTTGTATTCTTTTGCCAATTACTTTTGAGAGACAATGTATATGCTTGCATCCCACCAGATAGTTTCATGTGCATAACCTCTTATAGTTGAATTTCAGTCCCGCCCATATTATTCTAAAAACTTCACACAAGAAACAGCATATAAGCCCTTTATAACTGGATAGTGTTGAAAATCAGTTCTTTAAGACCAATTATCCTCATTTTTTTCTAAATTAGAGGGAGCAGAGGCTGAAACCCAGAAAAATAACAAGAAAAATGCACGTGGCATATATAACCTGACAGAGAAGAGTGGCAACTTTGGGATACCATGTGCTTCACTGTTTTCTTGTGGACAAACTTCTGCTGGCCAGAAATGCATTTCTTAGGAAGCTCAGAGAATTGGTCTTCTATTGTTACATTTTATGTCTCAACAGTTGATTGATTATCCTTCGTGGTTAATGGAACTTCTATAGTAATTTTTTTTAACGTACCTAGCATGTCCTGAAATTAAAACAACCTCAGAAATGACATAATAAATCATAAGGCTCAGAATTTTCAGTACAATCCTTAACAGCATCAATGATTTCTATGCTCCAAAGTGAAAGGATAAAAGAAGAAAAATAAATAAATGCATAAAGTAAGAAACAAGCATAAAGCCAAACAAAACCCGGTCCATGCAGCAAGAAAATCAAACCGAATCCATGGTACAAACAAAACTGAAGTATCTTTCACTTGAAACCAAAGTTGCTTAAACTTATATAACTACCAACGCAAAAACTAGAACCATCACATTATGATAACTAAATGTTATTCAGTTAATGAAACATGTGTCGCAGCCCCCCCAATAAAAGTTAAGTTGATTACTTGTTTTTAAAGCTTTAAAAGTAAACCCTGCAGGCTATAACGAGAAGAATAAAGAAATGGAAGAATATTGTTGTTAAAAACAGTTAAAAAACAGTTATAGTTGATTTTTTCTATTAATTTCTGTTACAACCGTTTCTTGCATAAATATAAGAATCGTAGCCCTCAATAATTGGATGGTTGGAGATGATTTGATTCTTAAATTCTAGGATTCAATTATTAACTGTATGTCAACCTCAGCAAGCACCTAAGGTTGCAAAAGGATCTGGCAATGAAGATAGCAAAGTTGAGCAAACTTTACTGAGAGCATCCACTACCTCAAGAGAAAATAAAATAAAGAATGCAAAGGCATTGAGCCTCATACAAGGAGCACTAACTGATACAAGGAGCACTAACTGATGAACGTTTCCCACGCATTAGAAATGAGAAGACTGTAAAAGGAGCTTGGGACATTGTGAGCAGAGAGTTCAGAGGAGATAAAAAGGTAAGAACTGTGAAACTTCAAGCAGTTAGAGCATACTTTGAGTGCATGAGAATGTCAGATGGTGAAAGCTTAGATGGCTACCTAGCTAAGTTTTTTTGCAATTGTGAATAATTTGAAATCACTTGGAGATGTATCTGAAACTAGAATTGTGCAAAAAATACTAATAAGCCCATGTAGAAAGTATAAATCCATTGTGTCCATCATTGAAAAAACACAGGACCTTGATGTTCTAAGAGTAGAAGAGGTCATTGCATCTATCAAAGTTTATGATAAGAAAAAGGATCTACATGATGAAAGAGACAAGTTAACAGGAACAGAGAGAGCTTTTAGCAGCTTAAAGGTTGAAAATAACCAAGCCTATAGTACATATAAGGGCTTCCAAGAAAAATTCACTCAAAAATGGCAATCACAAGACATAAGGGGATCAAATTAGACTCCAAACAGAAACCTGAATAACTATAACAACTCAAGCTGGAATAACTACTAGGGGGAGTAGTCAAGCAGGTGTAAAACCACCGTGTCAAATCTGCTAGAAGCATCATTTTGGATCATGCAGGCACAAAGGAAAACCAAAATGTGAAAGTTGCGATCGATTTGGCCATATTACAAAGGACTATAATAGTCATAGTACCAAACAATTACCCACTATGCAAAGGAAGAAGGAGTAACCACAAAAACTATGTTCTATGTTTGTCATTTTGCAAGTTTATAAGATAGAAATGTATGGTTCGTGGACAATGCTTGCAGCAACCATATGACATCTCAAGAATCTGAACTAATCAACATTGATAGAACTGTGACTTGCAAAGTTAAGATGGGCTCTGGAGATCTTGTACAAGCAACTGGAAAAGACATACTGGTGGTGGAGACTCAGCATGGGAAGAGATATATAAAAAAAGTGCTACTTGTTCCAGGATTGGATGAAAACTTATTGAGTATAGGTTAAATGATGAAGCATGGATATTATATCCTTTTTAAGGGTAACAAAGCAGTGATATTTGATGATGAATCCATAACACCTGCAACAAGGAAAGCGTATGTGATTAAAGATTCCTGGATATAACATAGAAGATTGGGACATTTGAATTTTGCTAGCATGAAGAAGATGCAACAGATGGAGATGGTATGTGAACTTTTTATGTTGACAGAAGTGGAGTATGTGTATGCAAGTTATGTTTCAAGAAAACATCACAGGAAAAAATTTGATAAAGAATAAACATGGAGAGCAAGCTATCCATTTAAGCAAATACACACAAACTGTATGGACCAATGCAGAACGAATCGATTGGGGGAAACGGGTACTTCATCACATTCATTGACGACTTCTCAAGAATGTGTTGCGTATACTTCTTCATAAATAAATCTAATACACTTAATGTGTTCAAGAAATTCAAAATCCTTGTTGAATTGCGAAATGGATATAAAGTAAGAAGTGATAGAGATGGTGAATATACCTTAAATAAGTTTCAAAAATTCTATGCAAACCTAGGAATGGAGAGGCAACAAACAATTGCATACTCTTCTCAACAGAGTAGAGTTGAAAAGAGGAGAAACATAACAATTTGTGAGATGGCGAGGTCCATGTTAACTAAGAAAGAAATACTAGTGATTTTCTAGGCAGAACTATGAGTATAACCGTGTACCTTCAAAACAGATGTTTTACAACATCTGTTATAAGAAAATATCCATTTAAAGCATTCACAAGAAGGAAGCCAGGAGTCAAGCATTTGAAGGTGTTTGGTTGCATATACTACACTCATGTTCCACCATCCCCGAGGCAAAAATTTGATAGCAAAGCTGGAAAGGGAGTTTTTGTGGGATATGGAAACTGTGAAAAGGGATATAAAGTGTATGATCTGAAATCTGAGAAAATTATTCTTTAAAGAAGTGTGATCTTCAATGATAATAAGTCATGGAGTTGGGGAAGAAATAAAAAAAAACTAATGTCAATGCCTCTCAACCTTAAAGGAGATGAAGTTGAAGGTGAAAACTCTAAAGAACAGTATATTGCAACCCAACCTAATAATGTTGGATGTTCCCATCTAAACTCCACAGTTGGCGAGTTAGCTTAGAACATTGGTAGTGATAGCAATCAACAATTCACACCTAGCTCTACTCAAGTAAAATTAAAAACCTTGGAAGATACATATGCAAGGTGTCACATGTGCATCATAGAACTTGAGAATTATCAAGAAGCAGCTAGAGATAAAGCCTAGCAAGAAGCCATAAAGGAAGAATTGAAAATGATAAAGAAGAACAATACTTAGGAATTGATGAAGAGATTGATCAACAAACTTGTTATATGAGTGAAATGGGAGTACAAAACCAAACTTCATCTTGATGGAATAGTATAAAAACATAAGGCTTAACTTATAACAAAAGGATATGCACAGAAATCTGAAATTGATTACAATGAAACCTTTACACCAATAACAAGATTAGATACAATTTGAACCCTTATTACACTTGCAACACAAAAGGGGTGGAAGTTATTCTAATTGGATGTTAATTCAGCATTCCTAAATGGTGTGCTTGAAGAATATATGTATGTTGAGTAGCTTAAGGGGTTTGAAGTAAAGGATACAGGGCATAAAATCTATAAATTAAGAAAAACTTTATATGAATTAAAGCAAGCACCAAGGGTCTGATCTAATGTATGCTGCCAACTTGCTATCACGGTTCATGAATGGTCCTACCAAAATTGATGTGGAAGCTGCAAAAAGGGTTCTAAGATATGTGTAGGGAACTCTCATTTATGATATTGAATATGTGAGAGATCAGTCAGTAACTCTTATTGGATTCTGTGATGCAGATTAGGCAGGAAGTGAAAATGATAGCAAGAGCACCTCTGGCTATGCATTCAGTTTTGGAATTGGAGCATTCTCTTGGGCCTCTGTGAAACAAAACACAGTGGCAGTATCAACTGCAAAAGCTGAGCATGTCTCGGCATCTGAAGTAACAGCTCAGGCCATTTGGTTAAGATTTGTTCTTAATGATTTTGGTCAAATACAAGCTGAAGTAACACCTCTGTTATGTGATAACATGATAGTAATTTCAATGGCAAATAATCTTGTTTTTCATCAAAGAACCAGACACATAAACTAGAAGTATCATTTCAGAAGAGAAGCTTCGCAATAGGGAATGAAAAATATGCAATTCTGCAAAAGCAACTAACAACTCGCGGACATCTTTATGGAAGTATTGTCTAAAGACAAATTCAAGCAACTAAGATTAAAACTTGGAGTTAAACTAGTAAGTAATTTAGGAGAGACTATTGCAAATTAAGCTGATTACTTATTTTTAAAGTCTCACAAGTAAATCTTGCAGGCTATAATGAGAAGAATAAAGAAATAGATGAATATTTATGTTAAAAGCAATTAAAACAATTACAGTTGGTTTTTTCTATTAATTTATGTTACAACCTTTTTTTGCATAAATGTAAGAATCGTAGCCCTCAATCATTGGATGGTTGGAGATGATTTGATTTCTAAATTTTAGAATTTTGTTATTAACTACATGTATGTAGTGTATAAAAACAATACAGGAATTCTTTTTATTCTCTCTTCAAAACTCTTCTACAAACTCTTCTTAAAACTTGAAAATCAAACCACCCCCGTTCTCCCCTCTCCCAAAAAAGAAAAAAAATCATCTGACCTCCTTCATCCTTAGGAAAGGAATTCTTTAATGGCTACCAAAAGTTATTCAAAGGATTTATAAACAAAAACCCAACGAATTTCAAACTCATAATTTCTAAGAAATAGCTTATCAAAAGCTATAATCTGATTCAGTCACTCACAACTAATAGCAGCCAATAGTAAAAGGAGCAAGCATTGGGTGCTATACTTTTAAGTACTGATTCAAATAAATAAAGCACAAGAACCAACGCTAGGGAAACCCGTAGTACTTTATTTTTATTAATGCACTTTGAACCATGAAGTCTTTTCCAGAGCAGATACAACAGAGCAGATACAGAACCCATTTACATGAGCAGAGACAAAAAAAGTCCAGCACATATAAACCTACACGAATAGTTCAGATGGTGAACAACAGGTTTAGCAACAGTGAAGTCTTCCTGAGGCTGGGGATTCATTTTTCCCAACATACAAAGAATTTGTTGCCAGCCGTTTGAACTTCCCAACAGAAGTCAATGGCATTGCAGGTTTACTATCGGTTAGCAGCAGTATGAACAATGATTCAGCATTTAAGCTGCTCATGGATATAGATCACCTCTTAGGTTGTACAGTGGTTAAATATGAGCAGAGCCCTGTCCCCTTAGAGACATCTGATAAAATTGGAATGATCTGAGTAAGTTCATACATCACTAACATGATCCATCTACTCTTACAGCTTTGTACTAATTATAGAGATAAAGCAGGCAAAAGAGGCTGCATGATCACTGTTCAAGGGCGTTGTTATTTGAACATAATGCAAAACCATATGGAGTTGCACTAGCAGATATAAAATGAAAGAAAACATGCAACAAACACCATAATGTTCCATGGTCTGGAAGCTGGAGTAACTTGAACCATACACTAGCATATATCGATTTGAGATATGAAATTAGAAACAAAAAAATGGGTTAAGCTTTTGCTTCAAATAATTCTGTGATAAAAGTGTCATTGTGAATCACAAACACTCTACAACCACCTTGCATGTCCATATCAATTCTGTATCAGAATACCAATTTGAAGACGTTTGGAAGTCAATAGCTTCTCCAAAAGTGGAGGCTTTTCTATGATTAGCTGCACTTGAGAACCTTCAAACAAGGGAGCATCTATGGCGCATTGGAGTTCTTGATTTTCCAGCAAGACTCTGCTCTATTTGTGGTGAGTATCAGGAGACGGTGGCCCATCTTTTCCTTCACTACCAACAGGTCTTGCAGCTGTGGTCAAGATCTTTCAATTGGTGGGGATGCTCGTGGGTGATGTCTAGAACAGTGGATGGCCTATTTCAGCAGTGGAGTATGCATGCTCATGGGAAAATGCACAAGAAAATGTGGCTCTTGGTTCTACTTTCACCATTTTGGTCCATTCGGTTGCCAAGGAATGCCAAGGTTTTGAATGGAAAATCCATTGATTGGGATGATTTGCTCTCCTTAACTCTCCTTAGTGTTGTTAAATGAGCTAAGTTCTTGGACAAGCAATTTGCATATATAGGCTGTGATTTATTGAGAAGCTCAGATGGAATAAAAAAACGGGATAGCACTCTGAATAACTGGGAGATACTTTGATACCTCTCTTGTATATACACGTTGGTACATCATGCATTCATTTGTTGATACTATTCCACCTTGTTACTCTTCCAATCAAATTTCTTAATAATAGGAAACGTCCAATACTTGTTCATTGACGCTAGAGCTAAAGAGAGCAGAATGCAAGCTATCGATTAGCCAATGCAAAATGGATTATAATCACAAAATTCAAAATATGCAAGGATTAAGGTGCTACATAAAGTTAACTCCCTAATTTTCAATGGTCAGCTCCATTGATATAATAACTTTTGACAGATAAATAGCCCCTGCTAGCCAGCAATATGAATCTAAGAAGAATAGAAATTTGAAGGAAAGCCTTATCAGCCTAGAGCTCATGCATTAAAAAAACAAAAACAATTTATTTCCCAGAGGAACATCCAAACACTCCCAAGAGAAAATGAAATAAAAGAGAAGTTCAAACCTAATTATTTGAAAACTGAAACATCAAATAGACAAAGCTGGTAACATAAAAAGCCTATTGTTGTTCAAGCATCCTTCTAGAAAAACTGAAACATCAAACAGGACTGGAACTGATAGTACCTGTAGTAGACGAAGAGCTGGTCTTTGAAGCAATATGTGGTGTCGAGATGAAAGGAGAAAACATGTAAGAATCAAATTTCATGAAGTCCACAATTTTCTCGAGGAACCTGTTCTTGTTTTTCTTAATGGGATTGCTCTTCTTTTGAACACCTAATTACACTCTCTTCTCCATCTCTACTTGATCCACTCGGAATTCTGAAAACAGAAACAAACATAGAATTCATCACTCTTTCAATTAGGCCAAATTACATAATCAACTTTTCAAATTCTGAGGCTCCAATCCCACAAAAAACGTAAAAGAGAAGTCACCATGAGCGTAATGATGGCAAGTTGTAAGTACGAAGAGAAATAAAAGCATTTACCTAAGCAAAGAAGAAAAATTAACTGGGAAAAAAACCCTGTAACAAATCATCTAAAAATAAAGCACAAAAATAAATGCAGAATCGGACAAATCGTCAGAAATCAAATCACAGTTACAAACAAAAAGAAAACACAAGCTGATGAATCGATATCTATCATCTATGTATGTTAATATAATCAATTAAAGATTCTAAACAGAATAAAGAAAGAAAGACAGTACAGACAGAGACATTTTACCTCAAAGCCAACGATTTTTTTGGGAAGGCTGGAAAGAGAAGCAGTTAGTCTTGAAAGCCAAATATTGTTTTCTGGTTATCTTTGATGGGTTTGCTGACATGTTCTTGTTTTGAACTCCTAACAAGACTCTCTTCCGAGGTCTGTGTGCGTGTGTGGTCTTAAAGGAAACACTTCAGAACGGAGAGCAGAGAAAGCGAGGCAAAATCAACAAACAAGGCTTTCCTTGCTTCTTTTGGCGGTTGGGATCGTTAAGAAATACGTGGCACGTAATGAGAGTAGCTACCTGTCTTTGCGGATATTAAGGATTTCGTAGCTGGCGAGACACGTGGGATTAAATGTCCTATTAGTATGAATCTGACCGCATCACATAATAAGCTGAACAAGGCAATATTTTATTTTTTTTAAATTATCAGTGTTTGAATTTTATTTTTTTAATCATAAAAGTATTGTTAAATTGCTAATTTGAAACTATGGTTTAAAGGGTGGGTTCTACCAAAATTGGGAGGTCATGTGAAGCACCTTGAAAGTGTTTTTTCTAATCTCATATTTTAGTTTTATTTTATTTACCAACAAAATACTAATAAAAAAAAGAGAGATAACAATTGATAATAACCAAATCAAAATAACCATTATATTCTTTTATCATATTTGTTTGCAAAACTCAACCTACTTACATTCCCCATTCCCTATTCCGTAGATAAACTCGTCAATTTAATTGTCAATTATCTCAACTAATTGTTGCAAGTAAACAACTCTTTTATTTATTTTAGATATTTTGTTTTTATTTCAATACTGAAATGATCACCATTCTTTTCTATCTTTTTAAAATCAATAACAATTTGTTATATATTTGAGTTTTTTTTTATACTTGCAAGTTTGTTAGCTATTTATAGTGACAACTTTTACTTTTTATGATGGCAAAAATGAAAACAATTCCTTATTGTTTTTTGTGATAGAGCAAGAAGAAAAACAACCCAAAAATTGCATAGAAACAGTAGAGAAGGTGTTTCAAAGTTGGTAATCTATTTTTTCAGCAAAACCTTAACTCATATTTATAATTTTACTAAATTCAAACATATGATATTACTTATTAATTAGTTTATTTTAAATTTCAAGCTTTTAGATAGTTTAATTTAGATTTTATGTTTTAACACTAACATTCATTCTTTCTACTTGCTAAGGCTAAATGTAGTTATTGATTGCTTGAAGCTCAAGTGGTTTTTTTTAGGATTTTTCCTTGCTTGTTAGGGCCTTATTATATATCTTTCTTAATAATAAATCTATTTTATTTTATTTCTTAACACTACTTCTTGAAATGCATTTCCAACAAAATCAATGATAGACCATCCATTTCATCAAAAAGTTATAAAAGGTTTAGGGATTGCTAAAAGAATCGGAGATGAAATACTCCATCGAAAATTGAGCTTTTTATTGCCAATGCAATCAATGATGAAATAAAAAATATTTAAAAATTTAAAAATATCTTTGATAATTTTGTTGGCATTAATGATGTGTCAAAGTTTCTAATAGAATTTACTCTTATGTTTAGCATCTCGTTAAAGTTAACAACCATTAACGGTCAAAGACAAAACATAATTAAATCAACACTTAGGATTTACAAATTATTAAATACTTACAAATGTTTTAAACCACTTAGTAAATTATTTATCTTGTAATTGGTAATTTTATGATTTACTAACATTTGAATTTTGAGATAATAATAATTGATAATTTTACCAATAAGAAAGTTAATTAAAGTTATTTTATAAGAGAATATAAGAGAAAATTTTAAAACAAATATATAATTATAAAATTTACTTAATCAACAAAAGGTATCAAATCATCACAACTAAATAATATTATATAATTATGTGCTTATCAGAATTCGATATTTGTCATAAATCTTTGATAATAATCATCTGGAATGCAAAAATATCAATAAATTTTCACTCGAAGGTAATTAACCATCATTATCATTACTTACTAAACAAAAGGTGTTAATTTATCACAACTAAATAACATGTAATTATATGCTTGTTTGAGTTTGATATTTGTTATAAATCTTCAATAATGGTCATCTGGGATGTAAAAATATTAACAAATTTTCACTTGAATGTAGTTTATCACCATCATCATTTTTTGGAACACAATTGATTCTTATTCTCAAAAGAGACTCAAAATAATATGAGGCAAATCTTGAGGTCTATTTAAAAATATAGGTCTCGTATATCAAAGCTTCAATATGTACTTTGTTTTTAACCTTTTATTTAGACTGAACAAATATTTGCATATAAGTAATTGAAGATGAATAAATTTACTTAATCAACAAAAGGTATCAAATCATCACAACTAAATAATATTATATAATTATGTGCTTATCAGAATTCGATATTTGTCATAAATCTTTGATAATAATCATCTGGAATGCAAAAATATCAATAAATTTTCACTCGAAGGTAATTAACCATCATTATCATTACTTACTAAACAAAAGGTGTTAATTTATCACAACTAAATAACATGTAATTATATGCTTGTTTGAGTTTGATATTTGTTATAAATCTTCAATAATGGTCATCTGGGATGTAAAAATATTAACAAATTTTCACTTGAATGTAGTTTATCACCATCATCATTTTTTGGAACACAATTGATTCTTATTCTCAAAAGAGACTCAAAATAATATGAGGCAAATCTTGAGGTCTATTTAAAAATATAGGTCTCGTATATCAAAGCTTCAATATGTACTTTGTTTTTAACCTTTTATTTAGACTGAACAAATATTTGCATATAAGTAATTGAAGATGAATAATTAGATATTTTAAAAAAGACAATGGATAATTATTAAGGATATATATAATTTTTAACATTTCAAATGGATACATTTATTTATATTATATAAGACCTCTAACTTTTACCTCTTACACTATATGAATAGGTAAATACTCAATTAAATCGAATAATGAAGTGAAGATTATTTTAATTTTATAAATTATCTTGATAATGTTCTTTTCAAGTTGCTCTATATTTTAAATATGCAACATGTTTGAAAAAATACATCTAAAAAGGTGATTAATTTTTAGATGATTAATTTTTGTAAGTGTATTTGATATCTTTTTGGCAATAAATCTTTATAAGTAATTGAAATGAGTGTTTGCATAAACACATAGTAATTATAACTCTTCATTTTATATAATTTAAATTCCCCCAAATTCACCAATATATCTATGTTTAAAACATATTAATTAGAAAATCATAGACTCTTAAGTCATTTAAAGATAAATAGTTGTGTATTTTTGTCCAATGCAATGGTGTATTTAGAATTTGCAACACCGAACCCATCATTAACCAACTCTATATTCTCATGGTCACAATACAAGGTTAAATTCATTTTTGCTTTTATATACTCTTTTGTTTTTCTTTTAATGTCCATGACCATATTAAAAATGTTGTTGAACATATTTTTCTTGATATGTGTCGCACGTGTGCGACATCGCGGCGATCATCCACCAATCATGCTAACGATGGGATGTGGTGTATTTCTAGCAAGATATGAAGAGACAAGGAATTCTTGTCTCTTATCAGTGAAAACATTGAATGGGAGTCGCCACCTAGTATTCTGGTAACTAGGAACCCTAACTGGTCTTTAGAGATCGGGTACGGAGACTGGTTGCGTAAAGGGAAGGTATTAGCACCCCGACTA